TCTACTGCTGAGCTACTCTTATTTTTTATTGTGTCTTACTAGGTTGCTGAGACTGGCCTTGGATTTGTGATCCTCCTGTTTCAGCTTCCTGAGTTGCTGGGATTACTGCACTATTGTGCCTGGTATATTTTATATTTCTAAAGAGGTTAAAATAGACATTGGTCAGTTAAGAATGATGTTTGACCTCTCTGCAGTGTTAAGTCCATGGCAATGGCCTTCATTCCTGCCCTCCTTTCTAAACATATTGAATTAATTTTTGTTGGAGGCCTCCACTGTATCCAAAACATAGTCTATTATTGTACTTATCACTTCTACTGCACTCTAAGTTCCTTAAAACTAGGAACCTGTCTTACCTATCTTGCTATCTTCAGTATTTAGTGGCACTCAATAAATGCTGAGTATGGCTAAGAAGAGCATCTAAAGGAAGCATAAGACCAGACAACTAGGCTGATCCGGTACAGATCTAAGAATTCTGAATGGAGAATTCTGAGTGGGTACAGGTGGAGGTGAGTTGAGCTGAGTGCACATTAACTGGGATGAGTAACTAGTGGTGGGAGTCAAAGTTATGGAAAACAGGGGGATTCAATTCCATAACAGAAAAAAAAGAACCGAGCCCTTGGAGTCTAAAGATGTGGGTCAAAACACTGGAATGAATAAATAAGATATAGATATCTTAATTCCTGTGAATCACAATATTTTCTACCAAGGAAGAGTCCTCTATGTGTCTTAAGTACCTCATAGGAAAATTGTCAAGATTAAATGAAATCTTATGCCTTGTAATAATTTTTGTAACTTTGGCAGTGTGGTATATAAATTGAGTTATCTTGTTTTATCCAAACCAGAACCCTTTGAGAGCAAGAGGAAGTACTATCAATAAATAACTTCAGAACGTACTCACAAACCAGAACTCTTCTGGGTTAACTTGGTTATATGCTCACTTATCTATATCATTTATATCTATATTCTAAATCCATTTATATCTACAACTATATCTGTGTATCTATACACATCTATATCAATATCTATGTCAGTGTCTATATTCTATATCTATATGTATGTCTACATCTATATCTATATCCATATTTATATCTGTAGTTCTATCTATTCCCATTTCCTTCTACATTTACTGTTTACTGATGCTGTTATTGTCATCATCCCAGAGTTTCTCATTTTGTTTCCCTTCATTTCTCTTTCCAACCATCTCTACCTCTCTTAACCATTTCTCATCAGGATACCCTTTCCTGAGACTCTTTCCTTTCCTTGTAGTTTCTCTCTTCCCACCTGTCTTCCTCCTTTCCCCCACTCTATCTCTTAACTGTTAATAATAAGAATGGAGAAACTTGTATTTTTTATCTATCATGTGTCTTAAACAATATTCTCTGTTCCTTAGAACATCAACAACAACAAACAACTCTACTTCAAGTAGAGGAAGAGGAACATGGGGAGGGAGGAAGGAAGGGAGAGAGGAGGCCCTGGGGACTGAAATGGAGCAAATTAAATTCCATGCATATATAACTATAATGCACTAATAAAAGCATTAAAAATCTCTAGTTCATATTTCTCTAAGCATACCAACAAGTTGTCCTTTCTTAATGAGGAATCTAGTGAAGTTGGACAAGCAGTGGATTGTGATTGTGCACACGTGTCACTCTGGGAATTAGCCAGAGTCTCAGTTTTATCATCTGGAAAATGGGGATAACCATTCTTGCATTGCAGACAAATAAATGAGCTTGCATGAAGAGAAGTGCTTCAGAGCAGCAATCATAACTCTTCATTGGAATCACCTGGATGAAGTTCTGAGACTTTCACAGGCTCTACCTCACACTAAAGGACCAAGCTGTTTTACTGCTCCTAGGTATATTCCAATATTCAGCCAAGGTTGAAAACCACTAGTCTGTAAATTATACAACATTATACAAATGTAAAACAACATGTATGTTTATATCCTTACTTTTAAAAAACCCTATGGATCAGTAACTCCTTAAAAGAAAACAGGTTACCTAGACCTACTCTAAATAATTGGGGATGAAAAGGGGCAGATAAAATTTTAACATATTTCAACTATTCTGGGCCATGTTCAGAAAGACTCATGATGATGGGATAATCTTATTATTTAGCTATTAGACTGTAACTTTGAACACATGAAGCCTGAGTCTTCCCATAGCCTTTTCAGCTACTCAGAAATAGTTGTACCTCCATCAAAATAATTGTCTAATGTAGGTATCATCTACATCCCAAGACAATATTAAAACATCTAATTTCTTTCAAAAATAACATGAAAAGAGTAAAAAATTAAATACAAAGGTTCTGATTACTAACCATAGATTAGTTTTCAAATTTTATTTTTAACTTCTAAAACTAATGAGTAGAGAAATACCGTATATTACAACCCTGGACAACCCAGAAACTCTGATAATTAGAGTATCTCTTTATAATGGACATTACACAGTAGGTAAGGAAAACATGAATGATTCTCATTATTTATAAAACTCATTAGTAATAAAAAATGAACAAACACTTTCCAAGGAAGTACTATCCTTTATACCTTAAAACTTTCTGAGATGACTATAGAAACTTACTTTTCAAGTAAAAAGAAACTACACAGATTTGGAAAAAATGACATTGGTGACTTTGGTGTTAAAACTTGTCATTTAGTAATCAATTCATGTTTTTCATGTTGCTGATTTGTTTTTATATGTTAAACAGCTGGCATTGGGCCAGTATCAATGTTATATTGCTACCTGGCATGTTGTTTAAAGATGTCAGTGATGCTAATGAAAATAGAGCTAGCTAGGGTTCCCATAACCTCTAGTCAATTGGTCTCAGTTTATGTTTTTACCTATTGATCTAATGGCCTGGGATGTACAGGAACCCAACTCTAAACAAGAGAAAAGAGAAATTCATGTTAATCAAAGAAGTCTGAGACATAAATTTATAATCCATGTCTTAAAAATTACATCTCTTTGGCAAAATTTTTTATTGATTTGTGTGAAAGAATATAGGTCATCTTAACTGAGCCAATTGTATAAATTCACAGTCATATTATAAAATAGATGGTACAATATGATATCAAAATGTTGTCTTAATAGCAGCAGAAGGGGCTTGGGCAAATTGTAAGAAATGAACAATCCAAAATGTGGAGTATAAGCCAAACTATTGGACTTTCTACCAGTCTTTGAATTTTCTAGTCAATTCTGCTCCAACTGCCATTTCCATTGTAGAAAAGACTTGAAGAGCCAGAAGACCATTTCTCTTATGCCTCCCAGAATGGGTCATGTTCAAGGGCAACTTGGGTTTTCCTGGGATAGATCCTGTAGGCAAGTCCCTCAGCAACTTGCTCTGCAGGAATTCTGGGACAGGGGAGAAATTTGGGCTGTAGAGACTATGAAGCTGTTCACCACACTCACATGTATTTTTTGTCTGGCTATTGTTCCAACAATCCTCACTTGTAGCTAGGGTAGGAAATGCAAAAGACCAAATCCCCCCAAAACAATCTGGCAGACATTTTTACAAAAATGACCTCCCACTTCAAGGTGATCCTATGTTTGTTAATCAGTCCACAGTCAGCTTGGCTGCAACAAAGAATGTAGCCTGTGATGGAGACAGATATTTTCCCCCCTTGGCCTCCAATCTCTGCTCAATTACAATTGGGCTTGAGCCCACTATGCTTCCTGATTTTAAATCTGTTTTACTAATTTCTTGTAATTAGGAATATTTCACTTAGGTTGGAGAAAACAGCAGGTTGAACCCTTGCCGTTTTGAGAAATGCAATATAAATGCTCTTCTCATAAAACTGGAGAAAAAAAGAGCACTTCAGACACTGTGAAAAACAGTTTGGTGGTTCCTTCAAAATCTAAACATAGAATTTAACATTGACCTGTGATTTCATTTGACCCATAAATTCTACTCCTAGTTATATACTGAAAACAATTGAAAGCAGGGTCCTAACAGTTGTGTGTGGAGTGTTGTTGTTGAGGATGGAGCCCAGAGTCTTGCACATGCTAAGCACATACTGTACCACTGAGCTATGCTCTCAGACTGCCAAACAAATACTTGTGCATCAATGGCATTATATCACTACTTCCAACAGCCAACAAGTAGAAACAACCTAAATGTCTTTCAGTATATAAATGAGTAAACAAAAATGTGACCTATCTCTATAATGGGATATGATTCAGCCTTAAAAAGGAGTGATTCTGACACATGCTACAACATTGGTAAGATGTGAAAACATTATTCAAAATGAAATAAAACAAACACAAAAGGACAGATATTGTATGATTTCACTTATATGAGTAACCAAGAATAAGTAAACTCAAATATAGAAATCAGAATAGAAGATACCAGAAATAGGAAGAGGGAGAAATGGATAGTTATTGTTTAGTGGATACCAAATTTCTGTTTGGGATGATGAGTTCTGGAAATGGACAGTGCGAATTAATTGCACAACATTGTGGGTGTACTTATTACCACTAAATTATAAATCTACAGTGGCTACAATTGTAAATCACATTATATATATTCATATGTATATATTCACTTAACAGTTTTTAAAATGCTACAAAAAATCCCAAATCTAAGCCAATATTAGGGTGAGAAATTTACAAAAGTACATGTAATGCACATAGTCCTTTTGCTGTTTTTTCTAGTTCCAGATATTACAGTAGCATTCTTCTCTTGACCATTTCTAGAAAACATTCAAAATGACACTATTTCATGTCAAAATTAAGTTATTACTTTTAGACAATGAATATACTGACTTAATGTTTAATAATGGACACTGTTTCCCTGAGCCAGAATTACTACACTACATAATGAATTGTTCCTCTAAGACGCAGTCTGCCCAAGAGCAAAGCAACCCAATGCCACAAGATACAGAATGTATAGAAGATCAAATGCCTCAGTCCCTACTTGAAGTATATTCATTCTCCTGTGCAAATCAAAACAAGAGAAGTCCATTAGCCAAGGATTTCATTCATCATGCCAACTTTTACACCTACTTGATGAAGTAGTCTCGCCCATCTCGGTTTGTCATCATCTCCCATCCATAGGGTGGCACCTGGTTCAAGCCCCAGGTTCCTGAGGGAGGTGGCCAGCCTGAAGACTTCGTCCTGTGGCTGCAAAAGAAAAAAAGGATTATCACAACTGACTCATAAATATATCTTTTGAGACAAATTGCAGAAGAATACCCGATTTACTCCTCTAAATTGAGGGATATTTCCTCAATTGATTAATTGGATAATTATAAAGAATATTTTTTATGTCATGTACCATGCTAGGCATTTTCTATGTGGTATTTCAGTTTCCACAGGGGCTCTGTGAAGCATAAGCACATTTATACATTTTAGAGATAAGGAAACAATAAATGGGCCAGAAAGTTTAGGCATTTGAAGACATACAAGCCAATTTTGAACAAAAGTTCTGCAACTTCCATCACATTAAGCATCCCTGAAACCAAACATGAGGAATATTTGGTCCCATAATTAGATTTGACAATATTATATAAATACACATGAAAATAAATTTTTGTGCTCTTAAACAACAAAACAAAACAAACAAAAACAATCCCCAAGCCTCAGTTTCTTGGATTCCTATGACCAAAATACAGACTCATGCTAACCACACTCCAGGCTAAATGAGTTATTCATAAACATTAGACAAACTCACAATTTTAAATTACAACCAAAATCCACACATCATTCTTCACAAATTCCCCAGTGCACAACCTTAATTTGACTCATCAGTAAAATGAAAGTGTCATTAAAGAGAATTTCCTTTAAATCTGTTTTTTACCAAAAGTAAGAGAAGGGGAGAAGTAACTCCTTATGACAAGCAGTTATGATGGGTAGCACTGCAGAGCCACAGTCCATAACTAGAATCCTAAAGCCAGTTTCTGGAACATCATTGAATCATAGCCTGGCTTCTTCAACCCAGGACCTGAGAAATTCTTGTCTTCCAATAATTGTCCAACACTACTTCAGAGCTTCACCATGCTTTTGGAAGTAAGTAATCAATTCCATTTTAGGATTGATCAACATCCCTCATCACTTTGTCCTTTAGGCTGTGGAGAAGTTATTCACTGTATAGCCTCTAACATCCTCTCATGGTTCCAAATCCCAGAATGATATAACTAAAGCAGGCAGAGAGAAGGCAGTGATGACATTTTCCTGGACTCACAATCAGTGTCTCAATAGCTGCTCAAGAGCACTTTACAATGAGAAAGAAGAACCCCTCTGATTAGATAAAAGTAGAGCAAGTGCCACTGGCCTGAGGATGGACTGCAGTTGTCACCTGCCTCCTTGGTTCGGCCCTCTTGCACGAGGTACAACTTGCAAAATGTAATGTATTTGCTTTCATGCAGCCTGTGGCAACTACCTAAACCAGGATTCTTAACCCTTTTGTGAAGAGGGAGACATTAAGTCAATAGAATACTGGGCAACTCCTTCCCTCAACCCACTTGGCCCTCTCATATACCCATCTGGCCATAACCCAAAATTTCTTCAGAAACAGAAGTCTGTTTCCTGTAAGTTTTCTGCAGAGGAAGTATTTTGCATAATTTCAACCAACTCCACTGCTTTTGTTTTAACTTCATTTCAGTTTTGCTACATCCTTCATAAAGTGTTCACCAATTTGATACAGGTCTGTAAATTTAGAATGCCACCATAGGCTTATTTCTTGTCTGTTGATATTAAAAGAAAAACATGGCTACTGCTTTTGGTTCTTTTACTTGCATAAAAGTCAGCAGTGGCCATTTCCTAGGGTGTTTTTTTTTTTTAATGTGCTGCTTTCCTGCAATGAGAGAACACATGAGTTTGTCACCCTGAGGTACTACACACACACACACACACACACAAAAAAAAAAAACCCACACCACTTTCTCCACAACTGCAGAGATCATATTTAGAATGCTTTCTAAGATGGTGCCAAGGAAACAAGTTCTTAGAGGCATGAATACAGTCTGTTCTGTTATTAAAAACTTTTTCCAAAAGCAAGAGTACCATTAGAAGTGGCACAAAGACTGTTGTTAGGAGTGAAAGGAGGAGGCCTGTGCAGAGAATACAATAATTTATTCTGGATTCTTAAATTATGTATTGTATTAGAAAGGTAATCTTCCTCATAGAGGGCTAACTTATTAAAAACAATAAACTGTCTTTCTTTTCCTTCAACCATTTTTTCCTCCCTGAAATCTTAATTACTGAAGGAAACACAAGGCTTCCTAATATAACTTCCATATAAAATATAGCATTATAATAAAGAACTGGAGGAAACCCATTTTACTATACATGACATTCTGTCCTGTACAGTATGTTCAGGAAGGGGCAAGCAACAGTTCAGCAAGATGTTTTCAAGTAAAGCTTTCTTTTTTAAAAAATCACCAAATGAAATGCTAATGCTGGAAAACCACATAAATACTAATTGAGCTTAGTCTAGGCCAAGAGGCATCAGGTGATAAAAAACAAATGATTTGAATATTAAGATCAATAAAAGAACATATATCTGCCTGTCAATGTGTCAAAATGAAATGTATAGGTCTGAAAATGCTTAGTAGAATTTGGCAAATTAAAAGTGCAAGTACAACAAAAATAACATCCTTCAAAAGTATCTATCCATAATGTCTTAAGAAAATTCAAGGATATAGGCCATAATTGTGAAGGGATCTGGCTCCTGCTTCTATGAAGTATGATTACTGGAAGTCTAGCCATCAACAATATCCAGCCTTGGAAATCCAGTGGTTTCCTCCCTGCTTACTGGGGAGATGCTTCAGGGACTTCCTTTTCCTGCTCTCACCTCTGGTGTTGCCCCAAACTCTTTAATATTCTCAAATGTCCCCATCCCATCACTGCTGAACAACATTTTCTACCCAGAATATTAATCCTATATAGAATTAATGGGTTAAGAGTGGTCCCTTGCAGAGTAGCAGTGAGGCCAACACATGTAAAAGCAAAGCTCTTGGTTGCTTTGCTTTAGCACCCCTTCAGATATGGAAATGATACTCAATTCCTTAGGATAGCCCAGGAACTGTTATGATGACACTATTCTAAAAGCTCTTCATTTTTGGCAATAATGCCAAACCTACATGCCAGTGTGAGATACTTGCCTTTTTATTTCCTGTCCATTTCTTAGGGAGCCCATTCTGAATTCTTGAGCTGAGCCACTGTAAAAGTTTCCCTCTTTGAATGAGGTCTTACTTTTCTTGTCTAAGAACCTGCCAGCCTCAAGATTCCTCATGAACACCTCTGTGGAGCCCGAACACTCTCATAAGTAATACCCTGGCTGTTCTTTTCAGCTGTGTTACTGAGGACGGTATGCAGGCTGGCCCCACTGAGAACATTTGCAAGGTGGTCTTCCAGCCTAGGGCTGCTAAATGTAAAACAATAAATACAGGACACTCAGTCTCCAATTTGAGTTCTCCATAAGCAACATTTTTAAAGCATGTCACATATACTATTTGGGCAAAACTGATGCCCACTGGAGTTTTAGAACCACTGGATTAGAACCAGCTTCCCTTTAACTGAGGCTCTGCCATCTATTTTCCATGATATTAAGCACTTTATTTAACCTCTCTAACCTCCTCAGAACCAGATACTCCTCTGTCAAATGGTGATAATAGGACTCATATCATTGGAAGAATATTAAGCGAGTTTTGAAAGAATTTTGTACGATTCCCAGACATATACGCTTGAAAGTCTTTGATAAATATCTACCTACAAATTAAAAAATATAATACTGGGGGGGGGGTGTTGTGCAAATATAATTGACTGTAATCCATCCTCAGAATAGAAAGAAGGTGAAAGGCTCATTCATCTATGCTTTTCCAGTCTGGCAAGGTCTAGAAGGGGCTGAACCAAGCAGTCACACCTTCTCATAAGGCTAGAAGTTGATGAGTTCAGCCCATCTCAAGGCAGAAGGAATATCAGGAAGTTTTTGTTTTTTTTTTTTTTTTAACAAAAAACCAGGAATCCCAAGTCTGTGATCCAGAGTACAGAGGGTCATTTTCCACTTTTCTCGGGCAAGGCTTTGAGAGTCCTTGCAATTGTGATGTTCTGCAACTTCTATCTGAGATCATGGCTGTGTGAACCACTTTTGAACACTTAGCTCAGCCTTAAAAATAGCGACCTACATTGTCAGAGCTATTTAAATCACTCCAGAAACTCATAACAACTGACTGAACTGGTTTGCAACTTTGTGCTTCACTCATCTATTGTTTGCAACAGGCTAAAACCATCCTGGACAAGATAGATCTTCCTACTTTATATGAAATGAGAGCAGCTATGAACCTACAGGCACAGTTGCAGAAGTATTTGTGTTGAGATCATTGGTGGAAGTGCTCCATGATTTCCTCCTCTATGCCTACCCCTAAGTCCTGCACCAAATCTTAATGGCAAATCTGCCATAGGAGAAAACAGGCTTTTGGAAATGCCTGCAGGCCTCTACAGTGATCTGACTTTCCTTAGAAGTAACTCAGTATCTGAAAAAGTGATGCTGCCAAAATAGACCTGTAGACCAATGGTACAGAATAGAAGACACAGATATAAACCCACATAAATACAGTTATCTCATACTAGACAAAGGTGCCAAAAACATGCATTGGAGAAAAGATAGCCTCTTCAACAAATGGTACTGGGAGAACTAGAATTCCATATGCAGCAAAATGAAAATAAACCCCCATCTCTCACCATGCACAAAACTAAACTCAAAGTGGATCAAGGACCTAGGAATTATTCCAGAGACCCTGCACCTAATAGAGGAAAAAGTAGGCCCAATCATCATCACGTTGGATTAGGCCCCGACTTCCTTAATAAGTTTCCTAAAGTGCAAGAAATAAAATCAAGAATTAATAAATGGGATGAACTCAAACTAAAAGGCTTCTACACAGCAAAAGAAACAATCAATGAGGTGAAGAGAAAGCCTACATTTTGGGAGCAAATTTTTGCCTTACATACATTAGACAGAGCACTGATCTCAAATATATATAAAGAACACAAAAAACTCAACACCCAGAAAACAAACAACCCAATCAATAAATGGGCAAAGGAGCTGAATAGACACTTGTCAGAAGAAGATATACATTCTATAAACAAATATATGAAAAAATGTTCAACATATCTAGCAATTA